AAAAAAGAAAGCAAGGATACCTATGCCAGTTACATTTTAAAGTTATACACTGTTTTAAGGCTATGTATTTATTCTTTAGAAAATATGACTTACATGAATATCTTCTGATGGACATAATATTGACAAAATATACACATGATATTACTTTAACAAACTGCCATGCAACAAATACATTAAGTAATGAAGAAATTGAATATATATGACCTAATCTAATTGACATTCACATTGAAAATTTACAACATAACCAATACTTAAATTTTTTTTCTTATATTTGGCAGTAATTTCATTTTTTTACAAGTTAAATTTAAAACTCATCTGAATGTGGATTTGGTGAAACTTAAACTTTTCCCTAGTCTGTGACAACTTGTGGTACCAAACATTTCTCTCTTATTTCACTATCTTCAAAGGTAATTTTTTTGTTTCTTTTAGGATCTATCCAAGAGTTGTGTATTACAGCATTATTAGGCATGGGATCAGCTTCCACTATAGAAACAACTCGCTTTTTCATTTTACTTTTCAAGACCTTTTGAAACTTTTGTCTAGTGAATGCATATAATAGAGGGTGAAATATAGTTGTTCCATAAGCCATGACTAGAAAACACAATCTTAATTTTACTAAAAGGTCACTTGGGCCTAAACATAAAATGGTGGTATTTAAAACAGAAATTGGTGTCCAGCAGAGAAGAAATGTAGAAATAATCAATAAAGACATTCTGAAGACTCTTTTTTGTCTTTCTCGTCGTTCACGGTGTCGTTTCACAGCTCGCCGGAGGGCAATTATTACAGAAACTGAAGTTCTTACACCAAAGACTACATTTCTCCCACCACTGCTTTGTGACATGTCTGTAGTCTCATGTTGTGTGGTTAGAGAAATTGTCTTTTTCTTTCTTGTTTTCTTCTTCTGCCCTGTTGAAAATCTTGTGCCTATTCGAATATTGAGAGCCTGAAGTATTTTGGTATATGTGATTAACATTACTATAACAGTGAAAAAGAATATTGGGATCTGTACTAGCAGGTGATAATACATTCCCAGTTCAGTGTAGTATTCATTTGTACTGACACATAAAAGTGTCCTGTTTTCCCATGTATTTCCACTTTGAAGACTGAAAAAATTCACCTCAATAAAGGGAATCAGGAAAGAGAAAAAAGAAAAAATCCAAATGGATGTCATTAACATTACAGCTCTGCCCATTGTCAGAATTCGATTTGCAGGTTTAACAGAGATGTCATATCTGTCCAAAGTGATAGCAAAAACGTTGATTGCTGTTGAGACACTTGCAAAAGATACACAAGCCTCATGGAAACAGCAGATGAGAGCAGTGTTACTCTCCAGTGAAAGCAGAAGGATAACTATAGTTAAAGGAATACATCCCACACAAATTATTACATCAAGTACATGAAGATTCATTGTAATAATGTTACTGACAGAGTTGATTAAGTTGGATTTCATGCAGTAAAGTACCAATACGGTGAGGTTGCTGCCAAGTCCCAACACAATTTCTAACATAAGAAATCCGGTGAGAGACACTTGAAAGCTTAATGGATATGATAGTGGTTGGTACATATTGGTGTTGATGTCATCAATGTCATCTCGCACTGTAATGTTAGATTCAGACTGCATGTTGATTTCCAGAATGGGAGAAAAACACATTCTTTTGGAGCAGTTGGTTTTTTCCCTAGAAAGTGAAATAGAATAAACTATTTGATATTTGGCAATTTAAATGACGTATAAAACAGGTGTTCCTTGTTAAAAATCTTTTTTTATTGTATACTGAGTTTAATTTTTAGTTTGTAAACTATTAATGGAAAATATGGAATTAAGAAACATCCAGGTTGCATTGTTTTGAAGTAAATGAAAACTGTGTTATCCTTTTGAAGAAATAACTGTATGGAAAATTCCCCCTATAGTGTAAAATTATTTAATATACTAAAGGGTGTTCCTCATTTGGGTTTTTAAGCTCATTACTTGAGATAAAGTATATTTTTGTATAATAAAACTACCCAGTATACAAAACTAATTTTAGCCCAGTGTTTTGAAATTTCATTAAAAATATGATTAGGTAAGAAATAAATGGTATTTTAATGTGTTCTAGCCAATGATTATAGGTGTAATTATTCCCATGAGATTTCAAATGAACAAGACAAGTGTTCATTGAAAATGATAAATGGTACAGAGTACTAGTTTGAAATTGAATTTCATATTCAGAAGTCTACAGTGTGCTTGGGGATTTGTGGAGTTATTTCCCACAGAAATAGCAAATGCTAAGTATTTCACATATCACAGTTAAAATGCTCACTGAACTCTACAATTGGCAAACTTATAAAAATTAGAAGAAAAGGAACTTTATGCTAAAGTAGAAAATCACAAAGCTTGGTAAAAGAGCACTAATCACTCCTGTGAATGATTTATTTTGTGACCACACCCTCTTGTATCTTGTGGAAGGAGAAAATTGAAATTAAATATCATATTAAAAAATAGCCATTTTAAAAGTAGTATAAAATAATATATCAGTTGATTTTGTTTAAACTGAGCCTTAAAGTAAAAGATGAAATTTTAGAGAAAACGAGTATGTGAAGCCCATTTTTTGAGGAAGCTTTTAAAGTTACATATTACTTGTGAAACCTTTTGTATACATCACGCAGTGTGTAATTTTGAAGAAAATTTAAAAAAAAACAAACTCTTACTAATTCATGCAAATCTATATTTTAATTTATAAGGTTTTAGAGTAATTTATAAAAATAATGTCTGATGTTCTGGGCTAAATTGTCAGTAATCAACATATTCAGTTTAAAATATGAAATCATACAACCAACTATATTTCACATTTCAAGTACAGCATTTCAACTGCAAAACCATATTCAAACATACATTATAAAAATTAATCTTTAAAATTCACGTTAACCTTTACTTGATGTTACCTTTGACAAGTTTTAGAATACAGTTTTATTTATGCCTATTATTTTTGGGGTAATATTTCAGAAACATAAATGATAACATTATTTCTTTTGAGTTGATATAAAGTATTACTGAGAAATATTTGAGTAAATGAAGGTCTTAGCTAAAATTGAAATCCTATAAAAATGGAAAATTTTGAGTGTGCCAAATTTTCTCAACTGACAAATTAAACATTAGATCTTTGTCACATTGGCCTAGATTTATACTTCAATAAACCAAGAGATGTCAAGTTAGATGATCATTAGGAAAAATGCATCTCCTTTAGAGCATGATTCTATTCTTGTGTAAATGTTAAACAGTGTGGTGGGTGCATGCATCTTCTGACCTACCTGTTTGCTGTTGCCTTATGGGCCTTTTGTCTCACTATGGCAGTTTTTCACAAATTGATACATGATGTCATTCACAGATTTTGACATGACTTTTTACCTGACAACAGTGAAGTAGCTGTGTTTTATTTCATGTCTTGTAGGAATTCTCTCATTTTCTCTCCAGTACTTCAACTGCATGAATTATGAGATTTAGTTGGCTGATGGATTTCTAAAAACAGTACATATTTGTGTTTGTTTTGCCTTAAAAAGTCACGACCAAGAGAAACTTCCTCAAATGATAGGAATTATGTTTCCCTTTGAGGGAGTATATGATAGTCTCTTTATTTTCCAGAATATGTGAAAACAAAAAAGGAAACATAAGGTTTCTAACTTCTAAAATGTATTTAGACATCCTTTTGTTACAATTATAAATCTGTTTCTATAGCAGTCCTTATTATTTTGAAATGATTTCTTGATCGCATAACTTGCTTTATATTATAAATCCAGCCCGTGTTCTTTTGATAAAAACCATCTGCCACTTAATTTGGTTTGTTTTCATTAGAAGAGGATACATAATTGGTCATAAAACTCAGATGGAAAAATCCATTAGTCCACATCAATTGATATGCATATCTGAATATCTAGTGCAGAAAACATTTGTTAAAGCTTCATTTTGCTTGCTGGTAAAGTATGTCATTTTCCTTTTGGAAATTCATGTTTCGTTATTTCTTCAAGAATCAGTAGCTTCCACAATTCTGGTATGTTGAAGTATGAACAACTTCTTTAAAAATGCTCACCATTTTGTTTTTTCAGCTTTTATGGCTGTGTTATTTTTCTTTCTGTGGTTATTTTATGTAGTATCTTCTTAGGATGCTGTCCATTTGTTATATTCCAACAGTAATGTAGACCTTTTCCCTGGTTTTAACTCCTTAATGTCTTAAAATCATGTAATACAGAAATATCTTGCAGTTTGTGGTTCAGACAGCTAGGGAGATGCTCAGTCAATTTCATTCTTCATATTATCGGTTGTAAATACTGAATTAGCTGCTGTGGACCCTTATGAAAAGGAAAAAAATGGTTAAGAAGTAGGGTTTTTAATAATTTCCAATTAATTGAAAGTTACCTTAGTTTTGTTTATTTTAAAACCAAACAATATTTGTTATTAAAATAAGCTATATTACTAGAGCCACAGCTATATGCATAAAATGAAGAGTTTCTTTATATAAAAGATTCTTTTCCTAATAAAGATTTTATATATTATTTAAAAATTGAGTTAACATTTCAAATGTAACTATGAGTGAAAAGCTGTATTTTTTAAACTAATTTCTGCTCTCATCTTAGAAGCTAACCTGTATTTTCAGAGATTATGAACAGTTAGCATACACTAAACATATTGTCATTCCCTCTTTGTAATAAATTGAACATCTCTTGCTGTAAAAATATTGTAGTTTGCTTAATTATTAACACATGGTTTGAATTTTAACTCATTAAAACAGATTCCATGATAAGATACTATAAATTTCCATTGATGAATTATGTAGTTGAAATGTAAAAGGTAATACAAAAATGTAACTACAAATTAAATATCTTCAATAAACATCCCCAATAATAACATAAAATTAAGTAATAAATAACAGCTGAAACAGCTGAATAGCAAACCTGGTTCTTTTAAGAAGTACAAGCATTTTTTGAACATCCGAGTAAAACTGTACTGATTACCTTAAGAATATTTAGTATGTCTGAAGTGACTTAAAAGCTGATATCTTCGTAATGAATTAACAAAGAATATCTTTTGTATTTAGCAATGCATCCTAAAAAATTTCATTTAAATTATATCTTAAAAGAAATAGATCTAAAAATACATGTTTAGCAATAAGTAGAATTAAACAAACTCTTAAAATTTAGGCTGAAAATTTTCAAAGTAATTTTACCCCACTATGCCGGTTCAAAAGCAGCCGTATACTATAATAAGGAGCACATCTTACCTCTGCTAAAGATTTGATAAATTCTTGATGTAGTTGAAGCATTTCCAGTTTTGATTGATTCATTTTGTTCACTTGTTAGTAGAGGACTGGGGGAAGAGGGTCATAAACATCTCTTCGAAAATGACCTTAATGAAAATATGTGTCTGTACTGTGCCATTGTTTCAGCAGTACTGCTAATGTATGGAACATGTAGTGCTGCTTAGAGGCTGCTGCAGTCTCTCACTCTTCCTACTGTGGAATCAATAAGCATCTGAAAATACATAATGAAAGTAATTTAACATACTGAAGGCTTCTTGTCTCCAGAGACAACATTTAGATTCAGTCTTTCCAAAAAGGAACGGCACTGCTTTTCAGAGGAAAGCCTGTTCTGGGCAGCATTTGCAGAATGACAGCCTACCTTGTCGCTTCTCTCCACTGCAGAGAGATGCAGTGCATTCACTAATTTTGATTGGTCAGTTGTACTGGGCTTAAACTGTGCTTCATATGTATAGCAGGGATTCCCCCCCCCACTGTTTTATATAAGGATGCTTTTTAAAAAAAGACTAAATTTATAAGTGGTTGTATGTTTTTCTTAAATAGAATATGTTTAAATTAGTATTTTAACAATGTATGTTCTATTCTGGTTTGTTGGTCACTTATGCCAAACATTAAAAATTTCAGGGAGGTAGGGGAGCAAGAAAGACTTACATAGTAAAAAGTATATATTCTTTTTAAAGCCTTGATAATCGCACTTGAGAACATTTTAGTCTATATATGTTTTCGGTTGAGATTCTTTGTTCTACAAATAGAAACCCACTGCATCTTTACTGTGAGCCACATTGAATTTCAACTAGTTTGTTTGTATTCAAGTCATCTTCTCCGTGTATTCCAAATTGTTGTGAACATCTCAAGGTGTTAAAGATTGTCATGACTTAAGTACTCATTCATTCAGGTATCCATTCATTCAAAATATTAATCAAATTGATCTAAAGTGATTATACCCTAAAATATATATATTTTAAAATTTCATTGCTGATAGCATAGTCTCAGGGTTAAAACTTTAATCATTTGCATTACTTTTGGAGATTACTACTTGGTCTTCTCCTTTGGTAACCCTTTTGTTTGGTAGGTATATACTGATCATTTGCCATAATATTTTACATCAATTGGCTAGTTCTGTTTTTGACCCGGGCACATTTCTGAGTGGATTGCTACTTCTTAAATATTATATTAAATATCTAGCTGCATGCTAATGTTGTTAGTAAATATATGTAGTAAAGGAAAAAGTAAGTTACATGTCTATAAGTTGTAAAGCTAAATTATTTTAAGATATACTTTCAAAATAAAAACAATAGTTTAAATAATGAATCTAAAATATTTTAGCATTAAATTTTCTATTAATTTTAGTTACCTATAAATAAGTTTCTATTAATAGTGAGGATAATTTTTTTTTTTGGACTTAAGTATATAAAGTGGCTGGATGCTATATCTTTTGACAAAATGGAAGACATTGCAGATGGCTGAATTATTAGAATATTAATTGTCATATATCTCCATTATGTTAGGACTATTAATCTTCATTTTTCCAAATGTATGTTAGGTTTTTTATTTATAATTGAAATTCTCTTATAATTTTGAAAAGCAATAAGCATTTTTATAATCTTACACTGGTAGTATTTAAGCTTTATAGGGGAATGGCTAACTAATGTATGAGTTTTTAATTGCATTTCTATAGAAATTGAGAGAAATGTGGAAAATTTCATTGTGAATTTCTAAAATATTGTGCACAGCTTTGGGTGGCAAGGCTTTGATAATACTAAAAATGAAAATGTTATGCTATTTTTATGCATTTCAAAAGTTGGGGGAAAAGAATCTTGTTAGAATGATAGCCATGTTAAAAGATGGCTGATACATACACACACAGACACACACACACATAATGTTATTTTAAGCTTAAAACGAAAACCCAGGAAAACATGTTAGCATCAGTTGAAACTTGAGGGTGGGGATGAGGAAATTATTAACATAGTGGAAATATATATAGTGTTTTTCTTTCAAAAAGTTCAAATATTTGCTTATGTTTATCATCAAAATAGCCCCATATAGTAGAGGGAACCAAGGCACAGAGAAATTTAGTGACTTCAAAAAGTCTAAGTAGATTAGCAGCAGAGTCAGTGTTAGAGTTCTGCAAACCCCACCCTGCTATGTAGTTGGCTCTCTCTCTTTGTAACTGAAGGTACTTGAGACATAGAATTGGATGATATGGGTTTAGTCACAACTTATTAGTATATAACTTTTGGCAAGTGAAGCTTTTTTTGGGTCACGGTATAGCTTTGATTCTTTTTGTTGAAGTATATTTCTGTGCTTTGTTTAACTCTTTGTGAGACAACATTTCCAAGTTCTATTCAGATTATTTTACAAAAACAAAATCTAGGGGTCTCTGTAAGCAGTAATGGTAGCAAAAAAGCTCAAGTATGGACATTGCTCTTTATTTTCTGTACACGTGACTTGCTAAGGATATGTAAAATATCACAAACAGCAATTTCTTGTATACAATGCTTAGTTACAATATTATTTCTTTTTAAAAACCACAAATTGGTTTGGTGATTACAAGGTTCTCTGAAATCTTAACAGGGTAGTCCTAAATTCCCCTGTTTTTAACAAATATGCAAATATCTAAACCACTGGATTTAGAATCAGATTATATTATTTTCATGAAATAAATTAATACCAAATTACATGTATCAGAATTTACAAAGATTCTTGTTTCCATAGTAACACAGATTTTCACACTTGTGCATTTAATATATTTTGTATTCATATGGGATACTAATTTTGGAAAATGCTACAATCGGTAATTTAAAACCAAATTTTATGTTATAAAATAATCTTATATGTTAAATTTTTGTTTAATTAATAATCTGGGAAAGCAGTTTGGCTTTTCTGACAACTAACCAATAGATATAAATCTAACCCCAAAATACAGCTCACTTAAAATCCTTTTTCAAAAGTTGTGATTTTCTTTTCAGCTACAAATATTTTGATTACATATCTGTTTTAGTTCCTAAAATTCCTGGTATGTGGAGTCTTTGATTTTTAGCTTTTACGTATTCGTTGTCTTAAGTTTAGACAACTGTGACTGTGAGAGAGTAATTTATTGTTATATTTACATTGCACTATTCATATCAAATCATTCTTACCCTGCTTGTGGTTACCTCTCATGCTATATTTTTGATGATTCTCTTGAGTTTGTAAGTAACAAAGTCAACTAATATTAGAATTAACCATAACTGAAAGTGCTTTGAAACAGTTTGCAAAGTATATATGCAAAAGCAGTTTCTAATTGCTGAAAATTATTTTTTAAACTATATTGCTTCAAGAGTGCTTTTTCAATGGATACTTAACATAGTAAACTCTGAATTCTTTCTGATACTGGAGACCATGGAAGAAAGGATTATTTCAATTTAAAGCCAATTCAGAAATTTCATTTGGCTTCTCAACTTTAAATTTCTTTCAGCAAATGTTTTATTAGCAAAATAGAAATGGACCATCTGCTGAAAGCTCCATCAAGTGGGGAGTAGCCAAGGTAGTAGAGAGTCAACAACATTGGTGATTCATTTTCTATGAGAGAATAATTAAAAACTGATTATATTGGATAAAGCACATGCATCAGAATGGCATAAACTTAACAGATAGAAAATTCCACAAGCCATTCTTTCCCATCCTTATCTACCTCATCTAAGTTTGGCATTTAAAATTTTCTAACTTATAAATACATAGTGTGAAAAATCACTATGTATTTATAGGTCATTTGCCAGCATCACATACATTATAAAATACATAGCATTTTTTTACATTTTCTCTTCCAAACCTAGACTTTGGACCCTGCGACTGTTACTACAGTTTAACCTCTCTCTGTTCTACTATTGTGGACTTGTCTACTTTGGAGCCTTTTCCAAATTATTATCTCCACCCCAGTTCTCTGGCTGTTTAGACTCTTCTTTGCATTCTTAAATATTATGGATTTTGTTGATTTTTTTCTTATATTTTAATCAAAGAATTACACAAATAGCCATTTTTGTGCTTCCACCCCTGCCATTGGTTTCTCTTTTCTGTTGCTTCCTTTTCTTTGTATAATTCTCCCACTCTAAGTTACTATGAAGAATCAAATTCATTTTGTGTCCTGAGGCCAAGTCAGTTTTATCAGCTAGATTATATATTTAACAAAGCTACGTCAAGTCCCCTTTTTTGTGTTATTATGAGTCTTATGCTCTGGTGGAAGACATAGCTGAATGGCTGCCTATGATTTAGTGGTCTATTATTGATACTAGTTAGGTACATAATGCTTTTGTAAGAAGGCTGCCAATCTTTATGTGTAGGGCCAGAGAATAGTAGTGTTCTATAGGCAGTAGTTCCACTGTAGACTAAGTAACATCCACTGTGGTAATTGGTTCATCCATTTGGGAAAATGAATGCATGTTAAGAGTTTACTAGTAATCTTAGAGATTATGATCACTGGTGACTTTCTGCTAGATATATTCAGCAATATATCTTCAGTTATTGCTACCTTCTAGTCTTCATTTAGGGTTATAATATCTACAAAAAGTTCTGTTATTTTGGTTGGTATTGTAGACAATCTTTACATCAATTTGGGGAGAACTGACATCTTAACAATATTGAGTCTTCTAACTTATGGACACAGTATCTCTATTATTTTTAGGGCTTCATTGATTTATTTTATCAGTGTCTTTTAGTTTTTAGCCTGTAGATCCTACACATATTTTGTTAGATTTGTATTTAATTATTTCATTTCTTTAGTGCTATTGAAGTGACACCTTATTTTTTAAAAAAAATTCCAGTTGTTTATTGTTAATACATATAAATATGATTAGTTTTTTTTTTTTTTGAGACAGAGTCTCACTGTGTTGCCCTGGCTAGAGTGCCGTGGCGTCATCCTAGCTCACAGCAACCTCAAACTCCTGGGCTCAAGCGATCCTCCTGCCTCAGCCTCCCGAGT